ATATATAACAATATATATATATACATATATATATATATATACCACTATATATATATATATATATATATATATATATACGAAAACAATGTACTTGATAGAATATTCCAAGCGGAACAATATAATTTTCGTAGTTTTTTATGCTGCCTGCTATGAATAGAAACATCATAGACCAAACTGAATGCAGAGGCTAACAAGTCTTTTTATGTTTAACCAAACAGTATATTAGATAGTATATCTAGACTGAATCATATCGTTCACGTTTTTACTATGTTGTCGCTGCAGCGGATAGAGAGGACGAGTCAAGCCCTGCAGAGCGTACAGGCTATTGAGTCGGATATACAAAGTCAAGAAACACTCAAATACCGTATCAATGAGACCATTGATCACATCCTCAATTCACTTGAGAGAGAGATGAGAGGTGTGGGTGGCAACTTGGATGTACGTGTGTATTGTTTTCGCCGTATTGAAGCGTATGTATACTCCATGATCCGAAGAAAGTAGCATCAACCATTACCCGTGGAAGGCTTCTGTATAAACCGTATTTGTATACATGTAAATTGAAAGAGGAAGTCGTGTATCTGAACTATGTAGCGTGGTAATCTTAGCCAGGAGCGAAGCATCTCAGAAGAATATGAAACCATCTTGTGCGGTGATGTTGCTATATATAAAATCAACGGTATGCGCTGGCACTTCTATACTCAGTCACTTTTATATCCTCTGATTGGTAGAGTTTGTGCTGAGCTGCAAATAGCATCAGTAGAATGTACTGGCGCTCCAAAACTCAACCATTGCCATCGCTTCTGGTGTAAAAACCTTTGCCGAACTGTTGGCAGAAATAGCGGCATAGACGGACAGTCCCATACTCAATCACGTTCACCTCGTCTCATGTTCAAATCCTCCACTGAGCTATAAATAGAATCAGTGCCATGCACGACACTTCCATACCCAATCACTTTCACCTCGTCTCGGTGGCAAAACTTGCGCTGAGCTATAAATAGAACCAAGGTCATGCACTGCCAATCTCATACTCAAGCACTTTCACCTCGTCTTGTTTAGAAAGCCTGCGCTGGGCTATAATTAGAATCAACGTCAGCACCGACAGTCCCATACACAACCCCTTTCACTTCGTCACATTGCCGAAGCCCGCACTGAGCTATAAATATATACATTGACAGGTGAATACAGGCTGACTTTCGAGGGTTTATTCTTTATAATTATGTGTCTCTAAACGATCATGATGCTTGTAACCCCCCCTTTCTTCGCTCCGCAGAGAGTGACGAAATGCTGCAATCCAAACTTGCTTCTTTCGATTACGGTATGTTATATTTGGCGTACGTTTTTGCGTGCGTTTCGTCAAGATGTTAATATATTCGAGGTACTTGGCGGTTTCTTCTTGAGAAAATCCACACATTTATATGGTTTTCTACGGTGGCTTTTTTTTTGTATATGTTCTGAGGGGATCTTTATATATATGCCAAACTTTTTTTACTTTATGTGTCGTGTGGGTATGGTATGTGCTGCTTGCTGTATGCCGGGCTAAAGTGTATATGCTTCAATTGTGATAAGATTATTTCTTGTGTGCATATCCAAAATAGTAGTTTAGGGTTTAGTCTTGTGTGCAGATAGAAAGTATCAGTTTTTGTGTGTTGAACTTGCATTCTAAGTTTGGTTTGTGGTAGTATTTTGCCGAGCAAAAAATTAAGGGAGATTTTCTTTTTTCTGTTGTATTTCGATTTCGTCACACGGCGAAGAGACGATTATTTGAGTTTTCGCAAGCTATGCACAATCTGATTATATTTCAATTACGCACCACTATTGCAAATTAATCACCTAATGATTACCAAAATCGTTTTTGTATATCTGCAACCAGTTACCAGACTATCTCGCCATCTTCTTCACCGACTTACCGCACTAATTCTTATATATCCCCAATCACGTACGAATAATTCACAAATAAGTGAATCTACTTACCACACTATTTTACCACACTATTTTGCAGAAATCAGAACGTTGGTGCAAGAAGTAGAGAAGCATACGAAGGACTCCCACAGAGCAACACAGAACAAAGAGGCTGACCAAGCCATGCTGCAACAGAAGCGTCTGGATTATGAACGCTTGAAGCTGGAGTTGGAGGTATATATATTGTACAATACTGTGTTTACCTGTCTTTATAAACGCCTGATTCGCAGTGTTGAAAAAACCGAATGTGTTGTAGGTGAGCATTTGTATCCCTGTTCCAAGAGTGTATAGATATACATAGTATTTTTGCGATAACTTATGACTTATCAAGCCATGCTGCAGCCAGAAGCATTTGTAGCTTGAAAGCCTGAAATTGGAGTGGGACGTAGTGTTGTACAATATTGTGTCCGTTTGTCTTTATACTCGCAGTATTAATAACTTGTGTTCATACTCGCAGTCCACATGAACATAACTGTGTAAATAGGCTTGTTTTTTGTTTTTTTTTGATAGTGTACTGCGGCCGACTAAGAAACAGTACTGATGATTTGAATAGCTTGCTCGAATCCAATTTTATGACCAATATTTTACCTTGATACATAAAAATAGCTCTCTGTGTGTGTATGTGTATATAACCATATTCAACATCTTGATTATTGCATTGATCCATTTCTCCGAGTCATGTCGAGAGAATCAGCGACGACATACATCTACTGACAGTGCTCAAGGTGAAGTTTAAGATGTCTATTCACCTGATATAATACTCCCCTTATTGTGTGTATCTCATCCCTCTACCTAATACTTCAATCCTACCTTCTCCAGAGTCATATCAAAAGAATCAGCGACGGCATGGATCTACTGGCAGTACTCAAGAAGAAGTTTGAGATGTCTCTCAACGCTGTGGATGGAGATCTCGTGAGTGATTTAGAAAGCGACAACCACGAACTGCGACAGGCTGTGTTGTTGCGGTTCCAGGAAGCACTTATACACCTGCAGAAAGCCAAGCAAGGAGAGCTGGAGGATGCTCGGGTATGTATGTTATATTTATTTATTCATATGGCATGCGTGTGCATGCATATATAATTGTGTGTTGGGAGACCTGACCACGTGTAGATACGATTGCATATCAGTGTAAAACTGCTCCCAGGAGCATAGTCTATAGCAGTTTATATTTTGAAGGTCAAGCAGGGGCAGTTGAATAATGCTCGTGTACGTGTCTATATTTGTGTATGCGATTTGCATGTATATATGTGTGCTTTACGTTTGTATATATATACACATAGATTTATAGGCGTGTCTATTTATGTGTAGATGTTGCGATCTTCTGATTGTGTGCATGAGTGAACTCTCATCGGGGTGTCTATGTGATCCTCTTAGATGGTGAGCTTACGGTCATTTCTCTCTACGGAATGCGGCATTTACCTTTGAGGCACCCTGCAGTTATTTTATTCGTTCTTCAGGCAAAGTTCGGTAGTTGAAATTAGTGTGATGCTCTCATTTATATACCTATAGCTGTTGACTTGAATCTCATATTCGCCGTGTTAAAGTTGTCTAGTGAAATGACAATCTTCCCTTTTTATTGGCCATTGTGAAAGGGGGTTGAATTATTATCCTTTACCCTTCGTATATTGTCGAGTTAATCATTCAACTCAATAACCACAACGCTTTTGAATTTAATGACTCAACTCGATCATTGAGTCAAATCGTACATTTCTTTTTCTTCTCTATATAATGCGCCATGTAGGCGGCACTGGAGGCACATCAGACGGACACCAACAAGACGATCACCACCAAGGAGAATGAGCTACGCGCTAAGAACCACGGCACCGATCTTCTGAAGCAAAAGCGGGTATGTTTTAAGTCACGTGTTATGGTGTGATGGACTAAAGCACTGATCTGCTGAAGCAGGGGTGGGTATGCTTTTAAGTCACGTGTTGTGATGCGATGAACTGGGCGAAGTCGCAGACATTTCAGGCGACTGGCACTTCTCAAGTGACCGAAGTAGCCGACAGACTTGCAGCATAATGAACTAAATAATTACCCCCGGGGACTATCGGGGACTGGTTGACTATTCGCGAAGTGTCTATTTATAGCCTAATATATTACTCAGCTCTATTTGTATCACATTTTATAGGCGACAGGCGTGTCTCAACTGACCGAAGTAACCGACAGTCTCGCTGCACTTCCCCGTCGGTCTACGACTGTTGAGTTGGAGATTGCCGAAAGCAACGTCGAAAATCTGGTATACATGCGTACTTGTAGATAAGAGCTCGATTATATATTCGATCGTGTGTACATGTAGTGTAATATTCGGAACTGTTTTGTTATTGGTCAATGTACGGTCATAGTAACGGAATTGTATGTACAACTGGATTGGTATATCGATAGGTCAGTTTGAAAATATCTTAGTGAATGTGTGTACGTATAAGTAGTTTCCTTTTTATAGGTCTGTACTTAGGGATAATCTTTATTAATTCAAGATGGCAGTAGCATACATTCTAATTATCCAATGGGAACCCTTGATTATTGATGAATGAATATACGCTTATCTAGACGTATGGGTTTGACATATACTTGTATGCATCAATGTGTTATAAAATGGTACAGAATCCATATGTTTGTGCCCTTTAGTATGCATCTGCATCAGTATATGTTTTCGTATGTGCACTAGTGTGTTTTCCATGGGACAATGCGTGTGTGGTATCTTGTACCTGTCTCCTCAAAATCATGTATGTGTACTTGTTTGTAAACCAGTGTGTATCTACTTGTGTATTGGTATCAGGAGCTGTGCGGATTTGTGCTGGTGTGTATACTGTGTGCGCTCCATGCTACGTTAAAATACGCAGAAAAAATCCAACTCATCAAGATGAAGTCAAGAAATACTAATCAAGACGTGTATTGAAACATGAATACACGAATAGACATGTACACAAGTGAATATTAGCACGTGAAAACACATGTTTATTCCATAAAGATAACTTATCGACAGTACTTTCCAAGTAAAACTACCTGCCGATATATATATATATATATATGTGTGTGTGTGTGTGTGTGTGTGTGTGTGTGTGTGTGTGTGTGTGTG